CCCTGTAGAAAAGCATGAGCAATGCTTTACAATAGTTACTGAGTTTGCAGTTTCAGTAGATACTGAGGGTTCTGATTCAGATCTGAATTCCATGATGTAGAATCAGCCTTGCCATGAATTCCAATAGATCGAGGTTCAAAAAGGTTTAGTATTAAATCCAAATATCAGCATAAAGAGCTATCTTTAAGTTTGAGCAACCTCCTAACGCCTGTTTGACATCTCACAGTGCTGTCAATTAAAAGAGATTTTAATTGCATTAATGTAAACAGTTAACTTTACAAATTAATGTAAAATCAGTATAATGGCAAAAAGAATTGGGTGCTTTTTTACATGAAGGTTTAAATAATTCATTTTCTTCTTCCATTTTTGACATCTCAGCCCAGAGCAGGCAGAAGTGTGGGCCAAGAAGACAGCTACACTAGGTAGGCAGCCAATTAAAACAGACTGTCATAAAAGAGCAGGATGATTTTTCAGGACAGGCATCGTTATTTTGTGAGTACCAATATAAATTCCTAAATGTCTCACAGATGCAGTCTGAAAGAAATTATATCCCCCTCCCAGTAAAAATATCTTAGCCACCTCAAAAGAAGAGACCATATGGAGGCTTACTCACTTCGGGGGATGCTGAGTTAATTGAGTGAAAGTCCAAATAACTCTTTAGGAGAGACATGCTGAGGAGTAGCAGTAGGCTCTAAAGTAAGGTAATTCCAGAAGAATTTGCCTCAGTATTGCTATTACTTAATCAGCTGCATTATCACCACTCTTGGGAGGCCCAGGTGTTAACGAGGGCTCGTTTGGAAGGGCTGCAAAAAGGAATTTGCTGAGCACAGCTAAATGTATTTACATGAGAAATTCAGACCAAATCCAGTAGCATTTCAATAATAAAATCAAACAGCAAAAGGAATGTGCTCATTCTTTTGTCCAAAGAAGTGACTCCATCTTGTGCTGCAGAGGAGCATCTAAGCTGTGATTGAAAGGGGCAGCACCTGGCAGTAATACAGGATCACCAGCCCTCTGGTCCCAAGCTTTCCTGGCTGCCTCTTTTCATGGTGTGCTGGTTGCTGTTGGGAACTGCTCTGCCTCTTTAGACCTGTCTGCATGTTCAGAGCTGTCAGCTGTCTGATCAATTTTGAGAGTTTTTCAGTTCAAAGTGGTCATACTGTGCTGAGGAGGTGCTGAGACCCTTCAGTTCGGAAGTCTCCAGTGTCATTTGGACAATCTACAGATCACTCCTCAGGCTGTTGTCTCCAGCCTGGAAGCTCATCAGCCCTGAGCATTGTCGACTGTGTTTGCAATCTCTGTGCCAAGAACTGACAGGGTGAAAGATAGAAGATTGTCTTGAGAAGAAATTCCTACTGACTGCTAGTGCAGGATCTGTAGTTTGGCCTTTTATTCTGTTTGTCCCCTTCTAATGCTACCTTGGCTTTTTATGTAGTATGAAAATTGTGAGTTTTGCCATGCCACATACATTGCTCTCTTTTCTGGCTTGAGACTCCTCTTTGATTCTTTCTTTGCACAACAATTCTTCTTTCATTGGTTTTTCCCTGGATAAGTTGAATTGCTCCTGTTCCAGTGACTAGAAATTTTCATGTCTCAGCCCTTAGCCTTATCCTTTAAGCCCTTGCTTTTCCCATTGCTATAATGGAATTACTTATCTACATCTATTTACTCTTTAATGGATCTGGGATTGTTAAAAATTGGGCAGACTGGATCCTTTCCAGTTCATGTGAAATTTATACCAAAACAAATGGGATTTAGGAATATAAATATATTTGAGGATCTATGTCTATCTGTGTCTCAATGCTTTTGGGTGATATGCATAACTGGCTTAAGAAAATTGTCTTAAAACTCTAATGGGATGACAAATTGCTTTTTGGTTGTTTTTAAGAATCAGATTCTTCCTGCAGATTGCAATAACCTAGCAGTTAGCAAGAATGGGCCTTGACAGAGGAGCTCAGTTCTCTTTGCTGGCTGAGAACACTGAACCCAAGGACAGGCAGCAGCTCCTAATGGTTGCTGGAAGTGAGACTCTGTTCTTCCTCACATAAGGCTGCAGCAAATAAAACCAAGAGTATTTTCCCTACTGATAGAAGGCTGACTGTTGAATGGATAGAGCAGCTAGAGCTTCCAAATGTAGGAAGAGAGTGGAAAGTGGCCCCAGGAACTGAAACCCCTCTATTACTGCGTTGGTTTCCACAGCAGTAAAATGCAAAGCCAATGTTGCTCTAGACTTTTGGGTTTTGCAGCCTCCAGTCTTTCCAGGATTTACAGGACTGCTACTTAACTTGTTTGGCCCATTCAACAAGGAAAATTGCTCAATTTCAGACCCACATAACCTAGAGTACTTCTTGCTTCTCCCTCTCCTATTCTTCAGAGAAATGACTTTTTAAACCCCTGAATAATCTCAAGCAAGAGCTGTGATGTCTCCTGTGCCCTGCATCCTGCCTAGGACATGGACAGTATGGTGTGAAACAAGCAGAATTTATTGTACATCTCAGAGAAAGTCAAAGCACAACTTACCTGAGTTCTACACCCTCCTACCCCCAGCCTGGGGAAACTGGAAATCCTGCTGTGTCCATGTGTTCTGCTGAATAAATGCAGTCCTAGTCTGTTGTCCAGGCTGAAGCGCAATCTGGAGCACAATGAGCACTCCTTCCAAAGAAAACCTGAGTGCACTGGTGGGAGATCACACAACAAGGTCCTTCCTAATCTGAAGACCAGGAACAAGGAAGGACTATCCTTCCACCTAAACTCAAAACTCTGTTTTGGCCTAGTGATGTATTGGCCTAGTGAAGCCAAAGAGCTTTGGCACCATTCAAGTTGTCCTCTCAGGAGTTTTGGGTAGCTGAAATTTGGAGGACAGGTATTTTTATTTTTTGGGCTCACACAGAATTGGTAAAACCTGTGACACTGGAGAATCACTTATAAAATGGGAAGGAAAGAAGATGAAAAGAAGCCATTAAAAAAAACAAGCAAATTCAAATGGTAGAGCAAGAGCACACAGAAATGCTGAGAGACACAGGGACTTAGAGGAGGCAGGTTGAAATGAGGGAATGAGAGCAGTGAGAGTGAGAAGACATTAAAGTGGAAAACTGACACACAGAAAAGCAGGTGGTAATGGAGGAAGAAGAAAAGGGGAAGGAGTATCTTGCAGAGAAGGAGAAAGCAAAGACAGGAAGAAGTAGGAATGTGACAAAGAGGGATAATAAGGGAGCTGGTACGTCACAGGAGAAGAGGGAAATTGAGGAGGAAGAAGACCAAAGGGAAAGAAAGAAAGAAAGAAAGAAAGAAAGAAAGAAAGAAAGAAAGAAAGAAAGAAAGGAAAAGAGAAAAAGATATGGTAGAACTAGAACAGGAATGAGAGAATTCTAAAGAGAATTTATGGAGAAATGGAAGCAGTCACAGAAAAAGAACAGCGTAAAATGAGAAAATGAGCAATGGAAGCATGAAAAGAGGAAGAAGAATAAAGGGCCTCTGCATGAAGTGATAGACTTCTAGATGTTAGAATTAAGGTAGATGAACCCCATTGTAAGATGTGAAAAAAAAAATTCTTTTTAACTTCGAGGTTATAGCTGAAATGCAAATATTTTGTAGAAAATACAAATCATTGTGATTTTTGTAAATGTTGGGTTGTGCTATATATCACTTTGTAAAAAACACCAAAGTAGAACAGATTACATCAAGACGTTGTGCAGAAATTAGAAAGGAAAAAAGAAACCTGATCTTTATAACACAGACAGGAAAAAGCTGTCTCATGTATGCTGTGATTTACAAACCTGTGGGAGCTATTGTGGCCAGGGTCCAGCCCTCACTTTATACATTAGTGGGTGTAAAGGGTGATGTCACAGAAGGATTAGGTCTAATCCTGGACAAGAAAGCCTTGTGATGACTCAACAAGGAGCAGAAAAGGCAGAGCTAAATCAGCCTAAAGTCAGGCTTTATGGGCTTGGATGGAATCAGCATTTTGCATGTGTGGTCATGGTTTGCACAGAATGACACACTCAGTTCATGATGAACTCTGTCTACAGCCTTCCCATTCCTGCCTCCCATTTCATCACGCTGCTGGCCCAGTGTCTGCCTGCCACCAACTCAAAATAGGAGACTCCAGGATCCATATGAGGAACATTTTAATTGCCAGCAGAGCTATTGGCACCACATAAGTTTCACAGTGCATTGGTCAGTGCAAATAACCAATACATCAGGGCAGACCTTTGGCTGCCTGTAGTAAAATAGGGGGAGGCTTGATAAACCAGCCTTAATTCTCCATTCTGTTGGTAGTCTTTGCATCTTCTGTGTGGCAAAGCACAGGCCAGTTTGAAATGACCAAATTTACTCACCTGCTAAATGGTTTCTCTGGATTCCCAGTTCCTCTGACCCCAGAGCTCTGCTGAATGAATGGCAGAGGTGAGGACAGGTATTTCTGGATAGGACTTGTAGAAATTACTGATGGGCCCTGGCACATCTTTGCACCAAGCTCTTTAGTCAATCACATGCATAGGAATCAGATAGGCAGTAAGGAGTTCATGTCATAATTTCCTCAATCAGAAGCAAAAGGTGAGAGATTTGAGTGCTGTCTGAAGTCGTCATGGCACATAAGGCCTATTCTCATGACTGGTGCTGTAGATATCTTTCTTGTACTGAAATGAAAGCAAACCATTTCCAGGGATTTATAGAACATTTAATTTAACTTTGACTAGAAAAGCAACAGAATCCTGTTTGGAGAGGTAACAAATGGAAAACTTCTTTGCAGCACATTGTGGTTCTGGTAGATATTTCCTTATTTATTTTTGAAAGTAATACAGAAGTGAGTGATAATTGTTGCTGAGATTATTTTGTTTCTGTTTCAGAGAGGTTCAATTTAATAGTTTTCTTTAGGCTTTAAGCAGATTAGAGAAATAGGGACTTCAGTGATACAGCCCAGTGTAATATTTCTTTACTCACACTTGTTTTTAGTCTCAAAAAAAAAAAACCCTCATTAAAAATGCCATTTAGACAAAACAGATTTTTAAAAGACTTGCAGCTTTATTTCAGAAGTTTGCTAGACAGTATGGGGGCTGCTCTAAAAGGTCTATTTTGCAACCGAAAAACTGAGTTTACAACTCTAAATGGGAAAGCAAAATCTGCCCCCAAAGTAAGCCCCCTAATGTGGATGTCACAGTTGGAATAAATTGTTCTACTGTTTTCAGTGCTTGTTAATCAATTATTAAATTACTACAGCAAGGCTTGGAGGTGTAAGAAAAGACTATGGGAAAAACATTCTAGCACGCGGAATAAAAATGAGAAAAAATAACAATTTTTCCCACTAGGAAGTATGCAATTAGATGATATTTCACAGTCAAAATATTATGTAAACTGTAAAAAACATAACTACAGAAATCAGTGACAATGGTTATCTGACAGTTGTCACCCTTTGCATGACAACTTTGACATGCTCATTGGAGTCCCTTCCCAAAGGACAGTTGTCAGTCCAGCTGTCAAAACCACAGCTTTCTGACACAGTTCTGTAGAGAGAGGCTGCAGGTCCCAGCCTGAGGACATGAGGGAATCCCAGCACCCTGGGCACATGGAGAGGAGGTTGGGGTGTCCCCATGTGGCACCCTCACAGAGGACAACAGACAGAGCCAGCCCAGCCTCTGGGGATCCTCTCTGCACTATGGAAAGTGCTCTGGCAGGGGAGTCTCCTTTCTCCCTTCTGCTGGAGAGGCTTTTCCTGTCTCGTGAGTTTCTTGCTTTTGTGAGGCGCCAACACCAGTGTTGATCAGGAGCTGGTAATTTGCTATGACAACATCTCATAATCCCTTCCATAAAGCTTTCTGAGGTCATTTCACCATTGTCTTGTGTCCAAGTATGGAGGAAAAAAGCAGAAAACCACTTCAAACTCCTGTGTTTCTGAGAATGATTTGGAAGAGATTTTGGAGCACTAAAAGGAAAAAAAAAGTCAAAACAAGGTCATATCTGCAAAGGAACTCAAGGCTGAGAAAGTTCTGAATAAACTTGGGTGTAGCTGAGTGTAATTATTATCCTAAATTCCCCCGCTCAGCTGCAGCTAACCCAGTATAGACACCTAAACTCACCAGGGACCCCCCTCTTTGATGTTTAACATTACTATTGTGAGATTTCAGTTCTCTGCAGCCCATCTCAAATTGCCCTGGTATGAGAAGTTCAGCAGCTGGTTCAACACTTGATAAGGTTTCAGAAATAGGCATTTTCCCCTAGGTATCCCTTTAAATTGGAATATATTCTCAGAACATTCATAGCAAAGACACAGAACAGCGTGCTGCTTGAAAAACACAGTTAAGGATAATTTTTTAGCAGAAAGAAGGTTTTAAAATTCCTTCATAATATGATATAATAGCTTTTTCTAATACTTGGAAAACTGTGCATTTTTGTCTCTAGGCCTTTCTTGGCTAGACTGAGAAAGTTCAATGTCAAGTCTTTCATTTCTTGATTAAACATCAGACCTCTCCACATACAGGTTGTTCTGTATATTTTGCTGCATCTTCTTGAGTTGAAAGTGGAATAGCCACAGAAAAAAGAAGACTAACAAAATTAAAAGGAGAGCACAAAGCAGGAGGAAAAATGAGTTTTAATTCCCAGTGGCTGAGGAGGGAAATGAAACTTGATGCACACCTTGAATAATTACTTCTGTCTTGGCTTTGCATGGCGAGTTTTTGGTAGCTGGGTGGCTGCAGGGCTCGTCCTGTGAGAAGCTGCTGGAAGTTTCCTTCATGTCTGATGGAACCAATGCAGCTGGCTCCAAGTGTGTGCCCAGCCTCTCCAAAGAGTTTCTCTGAGGACAACAGAAGGAACAGGAGGGTTCTGCTGGAGGCAGGGGTGCAGGAGAAGGCTGTGCTGATATACACAGTTATAAATGAATGGCACCACTCAAGAGGTGGGAACAAGTTTGGTAGTACTAAGGATGTGGAGCACAAGGGCTGCAGGAAAGGAAATGGGAACAGAAGGGGAACTAAAGGTCTGAGGAACTGTTCGATAAAGGGTTTGGAGAAGGAAGGTGGCAGATGGGAAAGAAAGGCTGGGTTTCAAAAAGGATTGGGAAGGCCTTATTTATCTGTTTTTAGAGGTTTGGAGATTGCAAGGACTGCCTCTGGAGGAACAGGGTTAGTGAAAATGATGGGAAAATAATTGTCAGAGATGAAGTTAATCTAAGCAAGGAGAAATGGGGAGGAACATGAGTGGTTTTTGTGTGGGAGAAAGGCGATTTGAAACAGCAGAGGCCTTGGGAAAGGACAATGTGGAAGGGGAACCTCAACACAGAAGGCATTTGAAAGAGCTTTTAGGAAGGAAGGACTGGGAAATTTAGGGCTTGGGACAGAAGGGGCTGAGGAGACCACTATGGTGTGAGGGAGAAGTTAGGGTTACCAGTTTGGGGGAATATTATTTTCTGGGCTCTGATGTCAGAGAAGAGGCACACACAGAGAGAATTGCCTCCTTGTCCAAAGAACAGTCCTTCCCTTTTTCTCTGTTTTTATAAATTAAAATAGCCCTATTTTGGACAGAACAATCCAGAGATTTCCTTTAAAGTCAGAATTACATGAATTCTGACTGATCTGTGCAGTAACTGCGCCATATGAAAATTCTCTACATGACAGCCAGTTTAAGAGATTGGAACATAGTGCTTCTAAACTTGTTTCACATAGAAAAAGTACCCAATAAATCTCAGTTTTAAACCAGACACTCTTCCACACAGCGATATACTTCAATTTGATCTTCATTATTTCCTTAACTATCTCTTCTCTGTAGGAAACTGATCCCAAATCCTTCAGTCAGATCCCAGATCCTTCAGTAGATGGCCAGATAATCCCACTCTCAGTATGCTATGAGCACTGAATTTGCATCAGTTCATGTAAGCACACTTTTGTTCTGTTTTTCTTTCTGGATAAGGCAACACTGGTCTCCCTTGAAATCCTGTCTGTAATACATGGTTGTTTACAAACCACTTGATAACAGAAGTCACAGCACATATTTGTGTTGGCTGATAATCCTTTGTCAATGATGGATGAAGATCAGGTGTCATTTCTGATTCTTTTGGATGTGTCAGCTGCCTCCAGTACTGTTGACCATGAACTGACCTGCACTCTGGCAGTCTGGAAGCAAGGACAAACAGGATGAGTTGTGGAGCTCAGAGTTATGTGCAGCTCTGAGTCCTGAAGCATATTGGCAGTGGGCTGAGGGACCATTATTAACATCTCTCCTGTGTTCAAAGAAATTCAGATGATTCTTCATTTCACAGCATTTTTATTAATATGTTTTACCTACTAACATTTTGATAATGCAGCTTTGGCACTTATATAAGTCTCTGCTTGCTCGTCACATAAATTTTTTAAAAATCCTGCAAGCTCCTACAAAATATTTTCTACAAATATTTCCCCCCACAGTCTTTTGCCTTTAGCTCATACTTCCTTCGACAGCCTCAAAAATAGATGAAAAAAGTTTCCACACAGCAAGCTCTGAAATGCCACCCACCTCCCCCTCAACAAGCAGCCAGACCAGTCTCTGTTGGACCAGGGGGTACAGTATAGGTTTTATTGCCTCCAAAGATAGAGGCAATTCTGATAGATGCTCTTCTTGATCTTTTTGGCCCCACTGCCCTATCTCCACCTCTCAGTGAGATGTTGCAGCACACTAATTTCTTCAATTTAGTCAGAATTTTGGTTATATTCCGCTCCAGGGGGTCTCTTCCATACCATGTATCCAATTTAAATGATGGCGGAGGAGAGAAGGATTCCCTGTGCTTTTCTGCCTCCACTTCTCTATTCGCTGTGTGGCAGCTAAAGTTGCCTCTAAGTTGCAGACCAAAAATCAACAGTCTGAAGTTCACCTGGAAACAGCTGAAAACTGCTCAAATATGGGTTCAAGCCTTGCCTATGTGCACAGCTCCTCTTGGGAAATCTGCATGAACCATTGGACAGAGCCACCAGGTGATCCCAGCATCAAGGGACACCTGGAGAATTTGGCATCCAAAGGAGGAAAAAGCATGTACAACACTGATAACCCAGTCTGAAGGGAACCAGCTTCTTGATGCAATTCCTGTGGCAAGGCATAGTATGCCATGTTAGGTCAGTCATGGGAGGAGCCCATGTTTAAACTACTTGTCAGGTGTAAATATGAGATAAATAGACACAAACCTCCCTGCCTTGCAGTTACTGGCCTCCCAGATGCAATTAGTCAGACAGGCAGGTAATTAGGTGGGGAGATAATGATTAATAGCAAAATCAGATCAGGGCACCCCAGGCATTCTGGGTAAGCATTATGAGGACAGGAGATTTTGTGTTTTACAAAGGGGTGCAGTAGAGGGATTTTCCTTTTCTTTTAAAGATTCAGGGACATGTCAGCATAGCTCTATGGCCTGTGAAATCCTACTACAGTAAGAGACAGTTAAATCCATGCCCTCTACTAAGAGAAATAAGACATCAGCTCATGGCTTCCATACATTATGTTAATTTCTCTAGTTATTTCCTGAAGAGGGAAAAAATAACGTGGTAGATTACACAATCCTGACATTTGTCCACTTGCTGCTGCTTTTTTTGGCTTCTCTTTAGCTAGTAAGACATGAGCATTGGGAAGCAAATGGATTTCCCTGAGGACCCTGAACTAGTGCCCTGCCCCAGCCAACAGCTTTAGCCACTTGGAAAAAGTGCAATGTTGTGTCCTCCAAAAGCTGTTCCCAGGGCTTCATAATATTTGGTGATTAGACCAGGGTTGTTTACTGTGGGGTGGCAGCTATGCTCAGTCCAGACTTGTTGCTTTATTATGCACTGGCTCAATGTTTGTACAACACTTTGCATATAGTGATAAAGCCAGTAAAACATAGGCCATGGTGTAGCTCTATTTAGTAAACGATGAAAATCTGTTTTGCTCTTTCCAGAATGCTGAACATAAATGAATTTCAACTGCCTTGAAATTTTATAAGAAATAAAATTACTATGTGTTCATTGATTACTGTTAGATTGGGCTATTATCCGACCTCAAATCTGCCCAATTATGTTATAATACTCCCCCTCAGCCTTTGTTCATGACCATCCCCAGCTGCTAGTCAGCACCTCTATGTTTTTTCTGAAAGACATCCACCCAAGGTGCCAGAGGCAAGTGCAGGAGACAGACACAGCTGCACAGGATTGTTTTACCATCAGTGCTCTATTTTTCAGTTGTAAAGTGTTTCCAAAGTTTGTTTTCCTTAGTGAAATGAAAACATCAAAAAGAGTTAATCTGTTGGTGTAACTTTTTGTTTAACTTTTACTTAAAATTTCAGTTTTAAGTCTTCAGTTGACTGGGTTCCTTCGGTTTAGTTTTGTTTTTCATTACTCTATAATCCTCTGTGGCTTGAGACAACAGGACTTGAGTTTCATTTATGTAGACAAGTTATACAAGGAACATTACCACAGCAACTAAAATCCTGATTTATAAGACAAAACATAGCTCCCTCCTCTATTCAAACAGGATTTACAGGTATTTTGCTAATCATACATCCACAGTTGCTTTGATTTTCAAATGAAGTGCTGCCTATATTAATTGTACTGTCACCTTGACTGATGCAAATTCAACTAGCTGTTTTATGCCATTTGAAGTGTTGGCTTTTCAATTTCAGATTTTCTCATCTTCCTATGCCCTGAGCCCAAATAGTGCCCTAGAAATGATTATATTACATTTAATATTTCCTGAAAACCACTCAGTGTGGCAGGGTCAGTATGACTGTCCCTTTGAGTTTCTTCTCTAACAGCCAGGTAGTACTCTTTCCCCAAGAAAGGATTTGGTCAATCAGAATATAATGATCTCCTTATGGGAAGTGTTTTAATTACCTTTTCCTGGTTTTTTATGTCTGATGTATGGAATTCCATGTTACTATCCAACCATGCAAGAAAAAACCCCCCTCCAAAACTCAAGGCAAGCCTGGTATGAAAGGTTGAATCCCTGCTCAGATTCAGATTTTCTGTCATGCAGGTCATTCCACATGGTCTCTTGTCTTAGGTCTTGAGCTGCAAAACAGGGAGTAATACCCTCCTCCCTGGCAGACCTTTGTCAGGCTATGAAATGTTCAAGTACCCTTCCCTAGTGGAACTGTGGCAAGGGCAGGAGTGATATCATTTCCTGTGCAGGGAGCTGCAGATTTCCCTATCACAGCAGAAAAATAAGCCCACAGTGTCTTGATTAAGCTGTGTGCAGATCCAGGAGGTGTTGGACGATCTGGGTGGTGTTTCTTGTTGAAGCAGTTGCCATCTCCTCCAGGGACTGGCTGGTGAGCAGACTGCTGTAGCAGTAGCAGCAATATGTCCTTAAGATTGAAACTCCCCTAGGGACATTAAAAAATACTCTTGTCTCAAAAGTACCAAATAAATTTTCAGATAAAGATTGCATTTTTTGCCTCATTTATGTGCAACCTGCCCTCGCTCCTATTTCTGACCCAGAAGGTCACAAAGACCCTGCCTTATTCACTGGAATGTGAAATTCTAAGGCCTTCTGGATGGAACCTTTACAAAAATTCCTTCTAGTTTGAGGTAGTTCACATTTAAGAAAATTTACTCTGTAAAGAAAACTACTCTGTAAAGTTTGAGGGAAAAAATACCTCAGTTGCAAATATATGCAGTTGAAACACAAGCAGAACGCAGCTGATGGCAAACACATTATATAATTCCAGTTAGTTTGTGAGGCTGCTTCAGGTGAGAGCATGCAGGATAGCTAAGAGCAGGTAGAATGGGCTTGTGGCCTGTCCTTCAGCTCATAGAAAATTGCATTTTCTATATCTTTGGGAGAACAAGAGACTGTGTCACCCATAATCTCCCTTACCACTACAAGAACACCTGTTGCATCTTGACTGATGGTTCAAATGTAAGCATGAACTTCATCAGGTCCAGACTTATCTCAGGCAGGATGATGAGCACAAGCTCAGCAGCAGTGAAGGGAGAGCCAGGCACCCCCAGAGCTACAGGGTACAGGGTCAGGGCGCTGTGTCCCTCCAGCCTGGGTCACTGCCCACCTGCCCTGGCGCCATGCAGCAGTGAAAGCCTGATTCCTGGAACACGAGTCCTGGGCACGCTGTCACGTGGAGAGAGGGCTCTTCTGCTCTTTGTGCGGAGTGCTCATCTGTAGTCTGATTGCTGGTGGCCAGTGCAGTCAAAGTTTCTTTCTGGTATCAGAATAGTAACACAGGTTGATGAAACTGGGGTGAACATTTTCTGTGGATCAGCTACACTGCCTTTGAAAATAGAGGCTGGACCTGTCTTCAAAACTTGTGGAAAGGAGAACAACTTTTTAAGAGTAAAGCTTTTTAAAAGGGACTCAGACTGGCTTTTATTTTCTTTTATTTTCTTTTATTTTCTTTTATTTTCTTTTATTTTCTTTTATTTTCTTTTATTTTCTTTTTTTTCTGATTGAGCATTTGCAATCCCTGCTTGGTCTTCCTATAGCTGAAACAAAATAGAAACAGCAATACAGAGCCTAATAAATTCAATTGAAGGTATGCTTTGGTTTCATCAGCTATGGAAAATAACTGTAAAAAAAAGACCGAGGTGACTATCAAGGTTAAGAGTATCATAATATAATGCAAATAGTTTTTGTTTGCTTGTTCATTGGTCGTTAACTAACACATCTTTAATCCTCTGTGTGCTGATAATTTTGACTGTGGTCACGTGAATTCACTAACAACACTGGCCTTAGTTAGAGAACCTTCTGATGTCCAGCAAAGTGGCATTTCCAAGAACAGATGAGCGTCTCTGCTAATTTACTGTCAGCCTACCTGGAAGAGGCCAGCCACAGATTAAACACACACTGAGGACTAATCAATAAAGAGCCATATCTTTGATCTATTTGGTGCTGTTTCTGACTACAAAAAGTAATGCTCCTAATGAAACATGGCTCTCTTGCTTTCTCAGTGTAAAATATTGTATTTCAAATGGTTGCTTATTTAAACCCTTATGAAAAAGTAACAAGAAGTGGTTTTTGTTTGCTTGTTTCAAACAGTGCAATAGCAGCTGGCTCATGCTGGTGTTAACTGGTCTAAGGTTCTGTTTAGAGGTTTTTACATGTGACTCAGAAGTCATGTTTTGATCTTTGTCAATAGCAAATGGGAGGATTTCCTAAAGATACAATTTACATCTATTTTGTAATGTTAAATAGGTCAAGTGTAGTGCCCCAATGTCACAAGATACAATTGCTGAATTCTCCAGGGATGAATCCTGGCTTATCTGATGCAAGAGCTGGGACCAGCACTGGGCATCTGTGTGCTGTCAGTCTGCTTTGACCTTGCCTCACAGATGTGTATTTTATTTTCTTGCGGTGCAATCTAACCTGTCTGCTCACTAGCACTGAGCACCTGCTGCTCTTAGCTGTCTAAATGATTTTTAAAAATCACAAGGGACTACCCCCACTGAACCATCATTCCAAGTGCTGCCTCCCTGGCAAGTATCTCACTTGCCTCTTCATAGTCCTTTGCAAATAGTTGAAATAAATGAATCCTTCACTGGCTTTAAGCTATTTACTGTAAAGGATGTTAAGATGTCCTATTGTTTCCCAGACAATGTCCACCACAGCAAGCTGAAATGACACTGAATTCAAGTGTGGGTGTGGAAATTCACTCTTCCTTGTCAGGTATAGTTTTATTTTGTGTTGACAGACTTTATAGATTTGCTAATCCCTTCCTTCTGGTGTTCCTACTGTCTGGGATTGGCTCAACTGTTTTCCAATAAAAACAAAAACTATAAGGCTCCTGTCAATGCCTTTCTATACTTCTCTCTGCTTTCCCCTCCTGTCCAGCACATGCTGTAGATGTGAAGAGATGTGAAGAGTTTCTACAGATGGTTTATGGAAGTTATGGCTGTACCAATCTTTCTTATACCCTCCAGATCTATTTTCTGTCTCACCTAGATCATAGCCCTGGCTGGAGAATACCAGAACTCCTTGTTGGCTTGTGTGTCCACCAAGGAAAAGTCAGCTGTGTGTAGGGGCAGGAGGAAAAAAGGGACAGACAGAAGCTAATTCCCTCTTTAACTCCTGCCAATATATTTTTCCCAGTGACTCTTACCTGGTGCTGGAGGAGTTCTCATGAAACATAGAGAAGGTATTTTCCCCTCTAGTCTCTCTCAGAGTGTAGATAACCATGCTTTAGCAAGAAGGATATGGAGCAGTTTTGGTCTCTCAAGTGTGCTTGCCGGCACACCCTGACTCACCCTTAGTGAGTCATGGAAGGAACACAAGCCAAGTTGATGGGGCTTCAGGGACTGCTCTGGGGAGCACAGGGATGCAGAAGCAAGATCTTCAGGTTGATCAATCAGCTGGAAGAGAAGCTGACTTCTCAGCAGCTGAGATGCTAATTAAAATGCTCATTTGACTTATAGAACTCAACTCAGGCTATGATCTACATACCGCTATGAGGTTTTAATTGGAACTTCACTTTGCAAGCTGGGACTGAGTCGTGTGGAGCCCAGGCAGTTCTTCCAGCCTTTCTTAGAGGAGGCCACCATTCTAGAATTGCTCATCAATTCACAAAATATTGAACACTAGACATTCATCTTTTAGTGCATGTATTCTTTTTGCCTCTTTATGAGTTGTTGTATTTTTATCCTACTCATCATCAGTTCTTTTCTTATGAAGGAAAATTAAATAAATTAAAGGGAGGGACAGAAGAGTGGGATAGTGGCAGCAGTTAGCAGAGCAGAGTGATTAATAAACACTAAATTATTTATGGCAAAACTGCAAAATGGTGAGTGAGGTAGCAACAAGATTTTTGGTACACAAAAACACGGTGACTGTGCTTTACAGTGTAACAAGGCATTATTGTGCTGTTACAGAACTTGGGCAACTGTTTGGTCCCCAGACCAAAACACTCCTGGGCATCCACAGGAGCAGCTTCTGGGCACAGATCCATGGGAACTTTGTGTTCTGATTTGAATGTCATAACTGATTTTAGGTTTTTCTGGGGTCATCTGGTACTCATGAGTAAGCCTTACAAAACTTAGTCACTGCAAATCTGTCAAAATAGAGTTGATCTCAGCCTTTCACCAGCAGGGACAAATCTTACACCAATCCCTTTCTAATTAGTAAATGTACCCTTTAGTACCCTTTAAATTTGCCTCTCGTATTTCTATTGACAAAATTTCGTTCATTTCATAATCGTCAGTGCTGGCAAATCAGGTGCCCAAAACCACTAGGAACTTACAGATGCTCTTATGTTAAAAAGAAAAAAGATGGGAAATTCTATTCTTCTGAATTAATCTGAGTAATAAGAAATCAAAGGAGTATCTATTAAAAAAATATACAATATTTTTCACTGGATCTCTGGTGGTCAACAAATAAAGATAAAACTGACATATTTATTTGTACAAAGCTGATCATACTCTTTCATATGCTTACAAAGTTAGAAGTAATAAAAGGGGCCCAGGTTGTTAAGCATTTGTACTGAAAAAAGAGTTTTACATTTAAATCAGGAAGAAAACCTGCAAGACACAGAGAAGAGTTCAGTAAGGTGACAAGTGTGTCCTTCTACTGGAACATTCCTAAGGAATGACAGCAAATACCTTGGGCCCCAGGTATTTACAGTGCTGAAAAGATCAAATTGAGCATCAATTGTACTGTAACACTATCCTTTTCCTGTGAATGTAACTGGTATTTTTGCAGTTATGAAAACTCCTGATATCCATTCTTATTTTGTAAATAATACATATTCCCAAAATGAATACTTTTCATTTTTGGTTTGTGTCAGTCACAACTCTGAGTTCTACTTATCTCCAAATTGATCCAATAGGTGCTTGAAGGCTGGAGACATTTTAATTCTGACAAGTTTAAAGGATGTCTGTATTTAAATAATTTTCCTAGCAAATAGTTGCTGGGAAATGAACCTCCATCAAAAGCAGAACAATAATCTGCTTGCCCTTTATGATGTGGACCTTACATTTAGCTCCTTGTATTTGAAAGAATGGCATCACAGTAAACAATAATTTATATAAGTCATTGCTTGATGTATGTTATTGGTTACAGAAGCAAAAAAGAAAGAAGAATATGTAAGGAAAGCTGTTAATACCTTTTATTCACTGTTTTCCAGTTTCATTGTTTTGATGTTATAGCTCTTTTCCTTTGGTTGTCGACCTTATAAATACCTGATACAAATACTTCTTCTTTATGGTAGATACTGTTTATATCCTACAGACTGTCACATGCTTTTATAAGCCAGCACTTCAGACCAAATAGAAGAATCTCTGAGCTTTTAAAATAATTATTTAATAAGACTAGGCAGACCTTTCATAGCTACATTGAGATGTTTTTTCCAGTCAGGCAATACTTCTTGCTGTTAATATGT